AAATTTCTGTCAGTTCCCGCCGGTGGGACCGCCGACTCCAGAGGGTTAAATTAAAAATTGTTTAAGCTTAACCACCATGTTTACACTGATACCTCGTTTTATTAAAGCATGACCCCCTCCCCACATTCCCCACAGGTGACGTGTTCCACAGCATCTGCAAAGAGGAGCACCGGCTCCCTAACCCCGTCGCCCCCCACAGCAGCCCCACGGGCCTGGCCTCCCTACCTCCCCTTACTGGGCCACCTCTCCCCCCGGCCTCGGCGGCCCACCTTCCAGCCGTCGCCTCCCCGCACTTCCCCAAGAGAGTCGCCCCGGCCCCAGGCTTCCTGGATGCCCCCCACCCAGCCCTCTACCTCCCACCGGGCGAGCCCACCGCCGCTCCACCAGTCGAGAGCTGCGTCAGCGCCCCGCCCAGCGTCTGCAGGTCAGCCGTTTAAAACTCCCCGATTGTTTCTTTTAGCTAAATCCAACTTTTTGTGTGAGAATGAGGATTGAGTTTGGAGCTTAAGATCCCCCACGTTTGACCCGACAGCGACCCGGACTGCGAGGGGCACCGGTGTGAGGCCAACGGTGCCTACGACCACCAGCCCTACGATGGTGACGAGAGCCCGGACGAGGACAGCTGCTCCGAACACAGCTCCAGCACCTCCACCTCCACCAATCAGAAGGAAGGAAAGTACTGCGACTGCTGCTACTGTGAATTCTTCGGCCACGGTGGGGTAGGTCTCGGTCTTGGCCCCGTCCACCGTCTACATTTAGTGTCGCACTCGGTGTCAGACCGTGGCCCATTTTCCATAGCCTCCCGCGGCCCCCACGAGCCGCAATTTTGCGGAGATGCGCGAGAAGCTGCGCCTGCGCCTCACCAAGCGAAAGGAGGAGCAGCCGAAGAAGGAGGAGACGGTGCCGGAGCGGGAGGGCGTGGAGGACCACCGCAAGGTGGAGGACCTTCTGCAGTTCATCAACAGCAGTGACAGCAAGCCCACCAGCGGTGCCAAGGCGGCCAAGAGGGCCCGGCATAAGCAGAAGAAGGTAGCTGCGTGTGTGCTTGCGGTGCCACGAATATTCTGCACAGGTTCTGCATGGGTGCTGTTGGTGTGCTATGCGGGCGCTGCATGGGTGCTGTTGGTGTGCTATGCGGGTGCTGCATGGGTGCTGTTGATGCGCAATGCGGGCGCTGCATGGGTGCTGTTGATGCGCAATGCGGGCGCTGCATGGGTGTTGTTGATGCGCAATGCGGGCGCTGCATGGGTGCTGTTGATGCGCAATGCGGGCGCTGCATGGGTGCTGTTGATGCGCAATGCGGGCGCTGCATGGGTGCTGTTGATGCGCAATGCGGGCGCTGCATGG